CATCGATGGCATAATCCCACTGACATCAACCGCGCTTAACCCCAATTATTTACCCTTCCTTGTAGTGGAGAGCAGAACGTAGCCCTACACATCCCCCCTCAGTTCTCTCATCCATACAGGGGCAGGCTGGCGAAATTTACAGAGCATTAGTGGGTTGGGTCTTCAGTTGGTGCAAAGAGGCCCAGCTCCATTGAAGTGAACTAAAATCCGCTGGTTTATTTACACAAGCTGTACTACGAAGAATTTGCCCTCCATGTCAGCGAGATGCTTCCAAATAAAGTTACTTTTCAACTGCTTCGTTGAAAGACAGACTGGACGGCCCCAGACATATATATGTGAAGCAGCCACAATCCTGGCTCCACATTAAAGACATGGCAGCAAAACTTCAGCTGAGAGAGAACTTTGAATATCTAAGCCTGCCCAGAATGGGATTTCAAAGGGAAAACCACTGAATTTTCCCAGGGCTGTTATCTGGAAGTATTACGCAGCCTGGGTTAAGGCTGCTTTCAACACCCAAGTGCAGCAAGCCCACAGCAGCAGGCACGGAAAGCATCTGACAGCAGGTTCCGCCAGGGAAAAATCAACCACCAGCTGTGGCTATAAACGACAACTGGGTGAATACTGAAAAATCCATTATTTGAATGTAGGCAGATGTTTGCAAATAAACACCCGCCTATTGGTCCCGACTGGATCTACGACCCCTTGTAGGTTCCATAGCCATTCAGGCGAATGGTTTTTTCCCTTTTCTTCGCCTCTCTTTCTTCTTTCCCCCAGTTCCTGGAGTACAACCACAGGGGTGAGCGGAGCTTGTGCAGACATACCCAAGCCAGCTTTAACCTACCTAGCTCAGGTACCAGAACAGCAAAGTCTCCCAATTAATTACCCAGGGCTCCAGGTGCGCTTACACAGCCCGTATGGAAGCCCATCTTGCCAGAGCGTCACTGCTCCGGTATCCCAGCTAGCAAGTTTAAAGCTAGTTCAGGTATGTCTATGCAAACTGCAGTCACTCCCTGAAGTGTAGACTCGCAGGCCCAATGAATCACTGAAGGCTTAGGCTACACGCAAACTCATACCAGTTTAACTAAAGGTATGTTCTCAAACCAAGTTAGCTAAACCAGTGCATGCCCTTGTGTGACCACCCTTGAAACCTGTTTTTAAATGGTTTCTGTTGACTGGAAGAGCGCATGCAGCAAAGACCAAGACACACCCACAATCTCTGAAGAGCCCAACACAAGACTTAATGCGTGACACCAAAATATGATTCACACAAGAGACTGGAAATGCTTCCTCCCTTCCGGATTCCTTCCTCTAGGGCAGAGGACTGCCTACAACCTCAGCTCTGTGATTCTTCATTACTGGGGTAAATAATCCACAATAAGAGTGAGGGGAGCACACAAAATCCATGTGGAAAGGAGGAAGTTTTGGGACCAAAACAAGTATCATCCCTTAAAAGGAGACACATTGGAGAGGCATGGACAGACCCTCTAGTCTATAAGATATCCCCAAAAGGCAGCAGCTTTGTGCCTCCCACACATAAGAGGGAGGAAAACATGTGCATCCCCTCCTTTGTCTCCCTAGGTTACTGGATCAACACTAGCTGTGGTTATGAACCACAACTGGATGAAAACCTTAGGTCAGTTTTCCTTGCAACGTTCATGGAGCCAAACTCCACTAAACGGCTACTCTTGGGCATTTACTCTCTCATAAAAAGCTGGTTTCACAGCCTGGGATTCTCCTCTCTCTGGACTGCTGTCCCTTAAATAAAACATGAAATGATACGAACAGGTCGTTTTGGAGACAGGCAGGGCCCTGGTGGCAAAGGGCTGCCATCCTGGGGGCTGCCCTGAGAAATGGCGGCACAAATCTCTAACGCCGAAGAGAATTACTCACCTCTTGGTGCTGGATGGGCGTCCAGCCTTTGGGAGCTCAATCCCAGCTCACCAGCGGCGTGGCATGGTCACCCCTAAAGAACAAGCCCTTCACAGCAGAGAGAGCATCTTCGCAGGACACAATTGCCACTTAGAGACATGGGGTGTTTGGAAAGAATCCGTTACCACCTGTCCGGGCTGCAACTCGCCTACAGGAGGCCACAGGCTGAGCGGGCCACGGAGGCTGACCTCCCTTGCTCCCTGAATTGGTCACGTCCAGGTAAGAGCAGACATCATGGCACGTGGGGGTTGTCTGAAGCATGTGCTGTGGTTGCCCGTGATTTAACTGTTCTGCAGATCAACTGAGGTCTCCAGCCTCCAGGGCTGTCACCAGCACTAAACAGACACAAAACTTTTATGTTTAAAAGAGGAATATTTTCTCTGGCTGACTGTTTGGAAAGCTGGGCCTGTGCGGTGGCACGTTGAAAGGGCTCCTTGAAATTTAGCAGCAAGCCTGAGTTAGACGGGGGTGCCCATGGTGTCAGTTCTCAGCCCTGAACGGGAAGAATGCAGCTGGCAGCTAAGGAGCTGGCATACGCCACGCCAATGCACCAGGGAGCCAAGGGGCTTTGAAATGCTGAGAGAACGCAGGAAACGTGCAACTCAACAGCACGAGGCTGCCAGAAGCAACGACACAGGATCTGCTGTAACGTGCTCTCCAGCTCCATCTCACCAAAGCGAGTTACCCGCTCTGCCATCAGCCGTTCTCTCGGTTTGCTGGATTCTTGTTTATGTACGTTTAATATTCAGGTAAACACTATGTCTGATGCTAATGGGGGGAGACGAATCCATTTCATTCCCTCATTATTTGCATTCGTATCCAGGCTCTGTTGACACGACGGGTTTGGAATACTGATGGGCTCAGTGAGGGGAACTTTGGCTGAGTGGCTCACGTAGCAGGTTTGTTTACAGGCTCCAGAGGTGGGGCTGCAGGAGAGCAAAGTATCCCAGCTCTGTTTGCGTGCTGGGTCTCTCGCGGATAACTAGGAGAGGTGTGCATTGAGAAGTGAAAGCTCTACCAGCCGCCTTTCCAAGGCGGGCTCCTTTCCCAGCCCCTCCAGCCTTGAAAGACCTGCTCGAAGAGCTGGAACAGTTCCCATCATCTAAGGCTTTGCTCCCACTGATACAATGATACGCCAGTGACTCTCAACCTTTTCCATACGAGGGTCCCCCAGAGCCGCCCTTCAACTCCATGTAGCAGGCTGTAGTTGGGACTCCCCTCCCCTTTAGCAGGTGGTTGTGACCCCCGATTTCGAACCCAAGGAATACCCACTATAAAAAAGGAGGCCTTCTTTGATATCATGGATTGGGATGAGAAGTACTATATCAATATGAGATACTGCACATTGCTCCGGAACCTGTTGCCAATCGATACATACACACCTTACAAATGCAAGCACCTCTGGGGAGAAATGTAGCAGCTGTTTAAAAGGACAGTCAGGTCTAAAAATAATAATCATACTATCAAGGAAATGGAATTTCTTCCTCTCTCTTACTCACACCACTTTAGATTACTAAAACTGAAAGAATGTTACACATCTCATTAACTAGGCACTATTTATGCTGCCTCTTTATTTTTTGCATTTCTCAGCTCAGACGAAGAAAATAGATTGGAGAGTCACAGTCAATTTCCACTAATTTCTACTCCCAAGCCCTAGCACAGTGCTGCAAAGTTCTGGTTGCAAATGCTGCAAGGGAATTTTCTGGTTGCAAAAAGAGAGTTTCCATTGAAGTTAATTTTTTTAAAATATTGATAGAACTATTTTGATTGGCTTTCTGTTTTTCTTTTTTAAAAGGCTTATAATATAAAACCTAAATCTGGGGACAAATTTCACTTATCAATGTCCATTGAACAGCACATGACTTCCTGGAGTGCGGCTATTGTTTTAAATTGAAATAACAGGAGGAATGCAGGCACATAGAATGTAGTTACCCAAGACACTAGCAGAAATTTGTGAATGAAGGATGCTATGTGGCCCTTTAATAACCATGCGTGATCAGGACCTCTGTTTCAGATCTTCTATGAAGCCAATACTGATCAGCACTTGGGCTGCCCAGAACTGTGCTAGGACCCAGGGTCAGACAGGCTCGGAGGGACAAGTATGCCCTGTGTCAGCAACATCACTTCCAGCAGTGCCCTGGTCTGCTTTGCTCATGGGTCCCTATGCCACAGGACCAGGCCTGACTCTACTTTGCTTTTGAGATCGGCCTAAAGTGGTGTGGCTGCCGCGGCGTAACACACACTGTAACGCAGACAAACAAAACACACTTTCAGATGCTGCCTCTTGCGTGTCAGAGAGCCCTTCCCACAGCTCGGGGGCTGATGCACTGCACAGACACCAGGCATATCTGAAAAGGAAGCACTGCCCTCAAGCAGGCTTCGAAAAAGAACCGTGGGGAGGGTGGAGATTAAACGAAACATTCCCTCTGCCAGTATTTTCCTGTGTCCCATTCAGTGCTTAATTTGTAATGGAAGAGGTGCTGGAACTCAAGCAATTTTTTTTCCATTCAGGAAGCCCAGAGGTGCCGGGGCTATGGACTGCCAAGCCCAGAGGTGCCGGGGCTCAGCCTTGGCACATATCAAGCACTGCTCCCATTGTTAACAGCGTAGATATCTGGGTCTGAATGAAGCACTCTCCTACCCGCTGAGGTTTTCAACTCATGGTAGACCCTGCAGTGAGGTCGTATGCCTGTGATTATGACATCACAATACACATATATCGAAGCAGCATCTTAAAACAAAAAAATATGAAGCTTCTGCTTCTCCCAATCGCATTTCCGAGGCTGCCACTAGCGTATGGCAATAGAAGACGCGTTTCCCCACACCCGGAGGTGGCAATACATCACATTCTGACACTCCATTAGAGCAGATAAATAAAGCAATGGCTGTGCAAAGCACATGTGTGCAACCCTGATGGTGCGTTAGCAGCAGCTGTGGAGGAAATCTTCCTCACCCTGAGAACTCTGAGGTTGGCATTTGCCACTCATGGAATAGTTGAATACAGGAAGGAGGGTTGGGGGGAAATAACACAAAAAAGCAACGTTGTCTAAAGCTGTTCAACAGCACCTTACCCTGAAGTCAATTCCAACCGTAGAAATGAAGCTGCCGGCCAGGAAAGCGCCATCTTTAAACCGCACCAGAAGGCAGGTTTTGCCAACCCCAGAGTCACCAACCAACATCACCTACGACAGAAAAACGAGCGCAATGCAAGTTAGACATTATTGGACAAAGGAGGAGGAGGGTTTTCCTTAAGGGAAACCTAACTACCGAGACTGGTTCCTGCACCATAGGCCCACTGATGTTAACGGGATTACTCATGCACTCAAAATTAAACACACGCCTCCGTGTTTGCAGGCTTGGGGCTACAGTTAGATTCACGTTTACTCAAGGCCAGGAGTGAGAACAAGTTTTCTACTTTTAAAAAAAATTATTAAAAAGAATCACTTGTCTGAGATTGAAGAGACACCCCCTTGGTGTCTGTCTTTGGAAGAAAATCCCCTGCATGGATTGCTACGACATCCACGAATCTGCCTTGGCCAGGACCAAATGCTGCTGTTCACATGACGCTTACAGCAGATAACTTTAGGACCCTGGCACAAGACAGTATGTTACAAACCTCAATCACTTTCATTAGACAGAGGTACTTGGAGAGCTTCTGTTCTCCCTGTCTCATAACACAAAAATAAGGGGACATAAGAACGGCCACACTGGGTCAGACCAAAGGTCCATCTAGCCCAGTATCCTGTCTTCCAGCAGTAGCCAATGCCAGGTGCTTCAGAGGGAATGAACAGAAGAGGTGTGATCCATTTAATGAAATAGAACGGTGGTAAATGCACAACTGATCAGAGCGACTATTTTTTCCTACCCACCATGTAATTAGACTTTGGCACTCATTGCCACCTGCTAAGGCCAAGAATTCAGCAAGATTCCAAAAGGGACCGGTGATAGTTTGACAAGTTAATCCTTCCAAAATCGGTGAGAGACAAACCTCATAGTTCAGGATTTAAGCCAAACTCTGACTTTGAGAGACCAGGATGACACCTAATGTGGGTGGCAGATTATCCCATATCCGCACTGTGCCGTTCTTCCGCCTTCCTCTGAAGCGTCTGGCACTGGCCACTCTGGGGGACAGGATACGGGGGTAGATGGACCTTGGGTCTGACCCACTATGGCAATTCCTACATTACATGCAAGTCACTGGGACTGCAAGAGGAGTAAAGGTAACAGAATCTGACCCCTAGTTATACTGGGTGTAATAAAGGTACGTTATTTAACCAGACATGCCATGTAACCCGGCAATTTTTAAAATACACATTAATAACCCTCGAAAGATCCTCAGGGCACTCTTACGAAGTACAGACAGTTTGTACGGTTTGGAGATACTGTCCTTAAGCCTAGATGCTACACACCGTTAACAGGAGCACGTGCACAAGTCAGTAACGGGGCCCCGAAAGCTTCGGAAGATCTGGGCCACGTCTCCGTTTTACAGACAGGGGAACGGTAACAGTTGCACTCAGGTCTCATTCACTTCAGTGGAGCAGGACGCAGCCCAGAGAAGTCAGTGGGCTAATTTTAAAGGTGCGGAGCACCTGCAGCTTCCATTAGCTTCACTGGGATTTGTGGCTGCCCAGTACTTCTGCGGGCCTGCCCCAAAGCCCACTGAAGTGAGCCGATTGACTAGCGTTGCTTTCAGTGGGCTTTGGATCGGGCCCCAACTGACTTACTGAGGATCACTCGGTGGGGACACTGGCAAAGACGGGACTAGAAACCAGGGGTGCAATTCCAGTGGCAAACTCCCACTGACGGGGCCAGGATATCATCCTGGGAGTTCTGTGCCTGAGCAACAGCCCATCCACCCCCGGCCCCCCGCTCTTATTACTTAGCGTGTAAATCGTAACAGTAGCCAAAAGCATTGTGTTCCAAACGCGGATACACGCGCACACACCCCAATGTTATACGCATTATAACCTTAAAAATGGAGCTGGTCAAGCCAGCCAGGCAGCAGATGACTTCCTTTACAAAGATTAGCTCGCCGCAAATCAGTCTCACTTGGTGTCCTGTACTAAACAATCTTCTCTCTCAGGCTAAGATAGCTGCTTGCATAGCAGGAGGGAGTTCTGGTCTAGATTTCTGGCAAGAGGGCCAGGTCCACGTGCATTTCTCAACTGCAGACTTGGAATTCTGAGTCTGCCCAAGTGCAGGAAGTTTTGGGGATCAGCAAAGTTCCCATGGGGCTGTTATTCACAGCAAAAGGCAAAGCAGGCCAAATCTCACTTGCACCAGACCCACTCATTAATTGGGGACAGGACAGGACAAGGGCTTAATCTTCATAGGTTCACAGACACCGACTCGCTAGCAAGTCACTTGGATTTGGACAGATGCACTAAGTTTCTCATCATCTTGGGCAGCTGCCAGAATGTGAGATGGGGACGGTCCAAGGAGTCCGATTCTGATCGCAGGTTATATGCTGACATCACTCTATTGACCTGAGGTCAGTCCCGTTGTACACTAGTGTATTCGAGATCAGAGTGTAGCCTCTGCCTTGCTCTTCTGTACATAGCAATCATCTCTGATGAGGACTGGAGCCCTCCAGGGACTGGGAATGAGAGTCCGACAAATCAGCTCTTTATGGGCTGCGGGGCCATTCATCTCTGTCGCTCGTTCAAAAACGAAGCCAGACCAAATTCAATCAGAGGCTGGTAGCTCCTGCGGGCAGCTCTTTGGCTTATTTGAAACATCTTGGTGTTTTCTATCCGGTTCCTAACGGAGCAGGTGTCCCAGTCAGGAAAAAACCCGGCAGTGGACAGTCCCTGGCCCCCTGGCTGGCCATCTCAGCAGAGGCCAAGGACAGGATGGGTCAGAGAGACCGACAGCGAGAGAGGAGCCTTGCAAGCTAGAGCGGAGGCCGTTCTGAGGTAGGGAAGATTGAGCTGCGGCTGCCTCTGCTGCACCTTTTCTGGAGAGGAAACAGACCCGTTCAGGCTCCAGGACTGCGGATGCGTCAGGAGCACTGAATTCACTTCGGCCAAAGGCAATTGATCTGTCACGCCACACACTGAATTTCAATCACGTCCTGGCCACGCCGGGTGCCAAAGGCACCGAGTCTCTTTATACACTGCGCCAAGATGCGTACCTTGCTGCACCCAGCACTGGCTTCCACGCAGCTTGATCCTCAACGCCGGAGGGAACTGGGTTAAGGCAAGGCGCAGAGCAGGCTGGGTCATGTGAAATTACAGATTCGGGCCAAATAAAAACAGAGCGCTCCAAGGTGGGCGAGCAGAGGGCCCTGTGACTGCACTGGAATTGACACTTAGATCCAGTGGTGAGAGGTGCCCTAGAAATACGGGAGAGACACAGAACAGGCTAAAGGTACAAACGAATGAAATTCCAGCAGCAGCAGGCAGAATCAGCTCAATGCAGCTGGTTAGAGGAACACTGTCATCTTGGTTTAGAAGCCAAGTGGAGATGTTGTTAAGGGGGAACCAGAGGGTTCCAATACCTAATTGGAACACAAAGCCTTGTATTCATCATTTTAAAAGGTCAGTAGGAAAAGGAGGATTTTTAAGGGGGGTGGAAAGGGATTTGCATTTAAACCACCCGCTGGATCCCAGTCACTTGTGCCTGAGACTCAGAGAGGAAAACTGACCAATCTAATTTCACGGCTGCAGCCCAGTGATGAAGAATCAGAAGAGAAATGAGCATGTTTCAGGGTTTAGAGGCGAGTTTATCTGAACCGTGCCCCTTCCCAGTATGTTTTTCAGAGCGCTTTTCCCCCCCACAGACACAAAGAGGAACTGTATCTGGAGTAGCAGTCTGCACAAGAGACGGTGGGCAGGTTTTTAGTTCTCTCTTTGTACCGCACCTAGCACAGTGACTGGGGACAAGAGGCACTACCGCCGTACAGAGAATACAGATCACTTCCAGAACTCGAGAGGCAAAGGAAAAGCAACCACTGTACACAGGGGGACACTGACTTTTTAAAGTTCCAGTGAAAGCTACAAAGATACAAGATCACAAAGGGGAACACTGCACCGCTTAATGCCCATGTTCCTTATGGCGTATAATTGACTAGTCATCTTGTTACCAGGCTGTTCAGACATGAACATCTTCAGCTATTTCTTTTCAAACACATTTTTCAGACCCATTGGGGCGGGGGCCAGGGAGGTTGCAGAAGAACGGAGCCTCGGAGGGCACCACTCTGGGAACTGCCTAACGGGGAAAGGGAAGACATGCTCCTCACCCGCCCGTGCCAGCCAAGGGGGATTGCTGTACACGCTAGCACAGATGTCCAGAGTAAAATAAAGTGTAGGTGAAAAACAAAGGAAAATCTCTGCCCTGCAGGGCTCACCGCAGCCAAGGTTCTGTGCCAGGTAAGAGAACTTTTCCTGGAGCCTTGTAGGTGGAAGTCATAGCAGTAGCAGGCGAGGTGCCAGGGGTTAGGTTTGGGGTGTGGGGTTTTTTTTGGGGGGGGGGGAGGACACGAAGATCTGCCTTTACCCTCTCCACTAACTCCCTTTCCCCCTGGTTCCAGGGAGACCCTCCTCTGTACCCAGCCCAACTCCCCGCCTCCCCGGCGGCTGCTAAGGTGCAGCTCCATGGCTCTCAATCCGAGCTCCCGGGCTCTATTCCGCCAACAGAGTGAAGCTGCAGGGCTCGGTCCCAGCCTCGCCTTCCCGCCCGTCTCCGACCCTGCCCAGCCTCCCTGGGATCGAAGTTTGCGCGGAGACTCCCGGCTGGGAAGCTGCTGATCCCCTCCCTTCCCCCAACAGCCCCTGACCCATCGCCAGGGGCCTGACTGGGGGAGGGGTGAGGTGGGGGGAAATCTCCGGAGTGGTTCATTTAACATGTCCAGCCACCCTGCCCCCATCTGTACCCCGCTGCCATTTCCCCTTGGAGATGGTTTCCCCTGCTTCCCTTCTCTGCAACCACAGCCCGCCCCGCCACCCTGACCCTCTGCAACCTACTCCCGGACGGGCCCCGAGTGCACCCCACTTTCCGGCACCCCGAGCCGGGCTCTCCTCCGAGGCTGTGCCGTGTGCCAGGACACCCTGGCCTCGGGCTGCAGCCTACTCCGGAACCCCGCTGGCCTCTCCTGGTCTCTGGGGCTGCCGGTTAGTTCCTCTAGCCCCCCTGCGTCCCCAAACAGCCGCGCCAACCAACGCCGGGTCCCTGCGTCTTAAAACTTGGGGGGCAGCCTAGTCCTCGCGACCTGTGTCGGGCTCTCCCCGTGGGCCAGCGCGCTCCAAGTTCCAGGGCCAAACTCCCCCCCACATATCGCCCTGGAGTCCTCCAACCCCTCGGGTCTCCGACCCCCCTTGAATCTGTGCGCGCCAGGACCTTCCCCGCAGCAGCGGGTCCGTGCACCCCAGGCTCCTCTCCCCGGACTCGGTGCGCTCCTTCCCGGCACCCTGGTTCCCTCCAAGCATCCTAGCCCTCCCCGCAAACCTTGCGGGCTGCGCGCCCTGGGGTCCCCTCCCCGTCCCCTGGCTCGGGGCGCCCCTCCACAGTCCCGGGCTCCGTGCGCTCTCCCGGCACCCTGGTCCCCTCCCCAGTCCCGGGCTCCGTGCGCCCCTCCC